ATACATTATCTAATAAGTGCTAAGATATTTTATCTGAGAAGTCGAGTTCTCCTCTTCAATTATTTACCAGAAGCTGCATGAAGGGGTTGGCGCCAATAGTCATGTTTTGTTTTTTTATCTACGGGCATTTGCTATACATTATCTAATAAGTGCTAAGATATTTTATCTGAGAAGTCGAGTTCTCCTCTTCAATTATTTACCAGAAGCTGCATGAAGGGGTTGGCGCCAATAGTCATGTTTTGTTTTTATATCAGCACCAAATCCCTTCTTCTTAGGGTTACCACCACAGTGTCGTTTGGCTCTAAAGTAGGGAAACCTTTCTTCGGTCGCAAAGAACATTTGTCTATCTAGTCGTGTGTATGTTTATAAGCCTATCCAGCTGTTCGTCTGTCTGTCAGTCTATCCATCTAGCCGTCCGTTTATCTGTATAGATGTTCCTTTGTCTGTCTATTTAGACGTCCGTTCAACAATCCTTCCTCTCCGTCTATTTAAGCGTTCCTCTTTCAGTCTATCTTGTAGTCGAACCATTTGTCTGTCTGGCTGTCCATCTGTCTATCTATCAATCTATCTAGCCTGTCGTCTGCCTGTTTACCTAACCGTCCATCTGTCTATCTAGCCACCCAACCACCTGTCTCTCTGGCTGCCCACCTGTCTATTTATTAATATGTCTAGCCGTCCGTTTGTCTGTCTTTCTAGCCATCCTTTTGTCTGTTTATCTGTCTATCTATTTGTAGCTTAGCAGTAAATGACTCACTTTTCCTGGATTTTTAATTTTTGATTATTGTATCGAAGATTGTCTCTTTCTGATTTAATGGAATTATATATAAAGCTTTTTATTAAGTTTGCTGTACAACTACTGTAGGCCTATTTTCTATGTTTTATTTTTGGACAATGATTACATCGCCTTGAGACAAACGGTAAAACTTTGATTTCTAATCTTCTGATATAAATATAACAGAGTCAACAGTGTTGTTGTTAACTGTGTTTATGTCGGCTAACTCGACTGAATGTATAATTTGCTAAACTTTAGTTTTCTGTTGCCAAGACTGACTTGTCGTATACTGCTTAGTTTACTCAATACCTTTTCACAGCTACATAAAAACAATGCAATAATCCATTTTCATTTAGATTTGATTTCTTATGTGGTAACGATTATCTATTTTCTAAATGAGCTATTGTGCGACATCAATTTCTTCAGTCACATGACCTAGATGCTTAATTGAGTACTGCTGCGTTTTCTGCCACGTGCTAGTGGATTATCAACTGTAATTCTTTTTTTATCTACTCTTGCTATACGTCAGACATGCCACCTACGGCTTTTCTTAAACACTGTTACGTCTTCAATCTAGCGATACAGATAAATATATGTATGTAGGTTTGTTTGAATTCATCATTTTTTGACATCAGCTTAGAATTATTAAACAATGCGTTAAGTTTCATTGTCCAACAGTGTGACAGCGGCAAGTTTACGGCCTTATAAGGATAATATTCGGGGTTTTATTCCATACGGTGGACACAGCAGATAACACATTGCTCCAAAGAAACAATCATTTCTATTTTTTAAAGAATGCATTGCAAAGTCTGGACTTTTGTTTTTCACTAGACCCAAGCATAATAAAGTTTTGAAAGTGAAACGTATAAATTATATTTTATTTATTGTAGAAACCAATAAATATTAACATAACATAGAAGCAAACCGTTTGTAGTTTCAATTGCACAGAAACAGCAAGTAATTTTGCTCGTTGTAGAATTTACGGTATTAAACTTTGAAGCTCCAGACGGTTAAACGTCAATAAGATGTAATTAATTTTACTCAGGCTGTGTGTGAAACTTTATCTTCTATAAGACGTACAACGTGAACCTGTAATTGCTGCTAATTCTAACACGTGTGCTGATACTCCCGATGATTGATCGAACAAATTAAATGTATTATATTATTTGCAAGCATCAAGATTTTCCAACGATTCAAGTTCTATTCTCCTCCCCCCCCCCTACATCATACGGGATTTTCGTTGCTTTCACACAATGGTACGATGTCTTAATGGTTATGTCTGTGTACGCATTTTTAAGAGGATCGAACTCGTTTACAGACTGCGTATTCTAAAAGTAATAACGTGGTATAAGAATACTCATTCTTGTTACCTGCGACTACTGGAGTGATAACGTGGTAAATGAACACTCACTCTTGTTACCTTAGTCTACTAGAGTAATAACGTGGTAAATGAACACTCACTCTTGTTACCTGAGTTTACTAACAGTGATAGCGTTTTAAATGGACACTCACTCTTGTTACCTGCGACTACTGGAGTGATAACGTGGTAAATGGACACTCACTCTTGTTACCTGCGACTACTAGAGTGATAGCGTTGTAAATGAACACCCACTCTTAGGATCTGAGT